TAAGATGAATTAACGTCGTTTATTTAGAGGGAAAAAGCGGAAGGATAATGGCCGACTGGTTTGTATAACGAGTGACGTGATAATAACCTGTATTCTGGATCCGTTCTCCTAGGAATCGGGTGGAATGATGGCTTTTTTTCAAGCCAGACGCGAAGGAACGAACATTTCTCTCGATCTTTTGTTTCGTTATAAAATTGATCGATTTTTATATTTTTAATTTATGTTTTGAAGGATTGATAGAAATTAAATTTTATATGTTAATATATATATATATATATAAAGTGAAATTAGAATTTAATACAAAAAATCTTTTTTGTATTTTTAAAATTAATTTCCAATTAATAATAATAAAATTAATAGAAAACGATTTTAATTATTTGATTCTTAAGTTTTATCTATCGATCAGAACTATTTTTAAAATAGATGAAAACGGGTAGGTGGATGCAGGGATTATAAACGAAGAAACTATTACGTGTACATGGACACGGTATACATCAAGGTTTCATTTTACTTCATGGTGGTCAGAAAGAACAAGATTCAGTAACGATAACCTCAAGAGTGTTATGTTTTATGCGGTTACACGTGTGCGAACGAGTACAATGGGGAAACGTTGGGGTAGAATGATATGCATGTGACAAATCGCGAAAAGTGTTGATCGAATATCATGCATTACTGATATCGCGTAAAAAGAGGATCATGTATCGAATGAAAGTGATTTCACGCAACAAAAGCAAATCAAGACCGTGGAATATACAAATTGCTTGTATACCATTTCACTCTTTCAAAGATTATCCCATAACTGTACTGGTGAATGCAAGAAATGATTTACTTAAGATACTCAAGTTTCTTTTACATAAAATAAATGAAATTTCCACTTCTTATTTTTAGAACCATAATTACGATTGAAATTATTTTTGAAAGCTAATTATTTCATTGTGTTTATGATACTTTGTAAGCGATTTTTCGAACAAATTTAAAATTAAAAGAGAAATAAAAAAAGGAAAGGAAAATAGAAGATTTTGTCTTTATATTTTACTAATCGATTAAAAGTACAAATATAGGCTTTTCAGCGTTTAAAATCTTCGGAAAAATTCGGATAAGATCGTGACACTTTCGTGTTTGATTCGGGAATCGACAGCGAGTTCGACTTCGGGTAGGTTCGACAATAATCGGACGTGATCGGTTCAACGCTCGATTATTAAAGCTTTTAATCTTTAGTCTTTAGAAAACCGTACCAAACTTTTAAATAATTTTTTCTCTATTTCTTATTAATTTTTATATAATTTTATATTATTCATCGTTCAATATTTATCGTTCTCATCATTTCGAAGTGAGTGCAATATACGAAATAAGACAACGTTTAATATTAATTATCGTTGCTCGATGCATCTACAGAAAGGCTGTTTGCATCGAGTAAAACGGAAACGGCGTTGTGATCGAAATTAGACTTGGCGAATGAATATTTCATCGAGACGACGGGTACTCGAAAATCGATAACTCATTAATAGGAAGTAAGAAGCATAAGGTGGGGGATGGGGGGAAGTACTACGTACTACATACGCCATGAAATTTCAGCGAGTTAGCTTTATCATTAATCACGAGTTTCGGTGTGAATTAGACTCAATTACACGGCCGCGAGTAACCTCGTGCAAACCGAATATCCATTAATCGAGTTACCTGGAACTTCAAACTTGGCGAGCGGCAAAGTTCGTCTACCATTAAAATCAAGAGTGGTTTCATTCCTCGCTGCTCGACCGGCTTCAACGAACCCTTTTTTTTTCATCTCTCTTTCTCTCATTCCCCCTCCCTCGTTTTCCACCCTTGTTCGCGTCGAGCCGCGAGTTTTAGCCTTTAACACGGACGCGAATCGTCAGATTTACGAGAAAAATGGGTCAATTTTTTTTTTTAATCGATATCGGATATCAGACACGAGCAAATTGTAATTCCAATTAAAATAACATTTTAGAATCATTACATTCGATATCTTTATTTGAAACTAAAAAAAAAAAATTCATTTTTATATAACAACTCCGCCATTTATTTATTTCAAATTTATTTTTCGAAATAAAAATTACGAGATAAATCTATCTTTTTTTTTTTTTTCAGATCCTTTTATTATTTAAAATAAATTTTAAATTATTATATCGACATGAATTTCCAATATCACCGAGAAATCGAAGCTCGAAAATTAAAAATCAAATAAAAAATATGAGACTACAAATACAATTTTTATCTCCATCGAATTACGACACGATAATCTAAAGGGTTAACCAGCCATGTTATCTCGTTAAGATCAACGAGGAACATGACCACGCCGGATATGAAAAATGAATTTCACAGGATTTAGGATCCGGCATTATCCGTTCGAGGCCAATCTTGTAACTTTTCATACGCACACCGTGGCACCGTTGTCCACGCCAAACCTCGCGCGTATTCGCGGGTATTAGGGGCCGCTATTTGCGTCGTGGCAGCCTGTGCCCGCGATCTATTATGTATCAAGCTCAGATGTGTATATCACAGCGGTCTACAGGACAATGATAGATCAATGCGACACGGTCGGATTAATGGGTTGTACGCTTACACGTGTACACAGGCCGGCCGTTATCTGACGCTCGTATTTTCCCCTCGAGCTCCCTTCCTGTAATCGGTGAGCCGCGTTTCGGTTTGCATTTCTACGCCGAAAGGTAAATTTCTACCCAGCGATGAATGTCACTCGATTTTCTCGCGTCACATGACGGCAAGCAACCAGTTAACAAGAATTTGAAAATGTTGGAACAAGAGGAAAAAACAGATTGATATATATTTGTGTGGTTATTGTAAAATTATATTTGTATAGTAGCGAGAAGAAAATTAATAAGGATCAAATTTATCGATTTTAAGGAAGTTTAAAAAAAAAATTTTATAATGAAATTTTATTTATTTATAACGACGGACGAAAATGTGGACAACAATTGCGAAAAAATAAAATGTTCGATGTATTTTAATAATATTCTGGCGTTCTTGTGAATGAGGTCTGAGATATTGCAAACTGTCATCTTCCACATTACGGTGCAATTTTACGCAATTTTACACGGATTATTTTGTGAGGAAGAGTGATGAGTCAGATGCGTTCGCAGAAGGGGGAATTATTTTTTTCTACGAATAAAATGTTCCAATTTCGCAATCGCAGGAATAATTTTAATTTACTAATTAAAAGGAATTATTATTAGAGAATCTCGATTGACGCACAATCGCTAAATTTTTGTAAATGTAATTTTAATTCTTTTCAAGAAAAATAAAAATTTCATATTTCTATTTCATCCTTTTTTACAATTAAACGTTTGTTTTTTTATATTATAAAAATATACTTCAAATCCCTATTTATTATTTTGAATATTTAACATTCTAAATTTATATCCTTCTCGCATCTAAAAAAATTTTCTTTATAATTATAACAATCGTGCAAATCGATATAATTATTTTTAGCCATTTAATCTAGCATCTAGCTACATTTTTTTTCACCGACTCAAACAATTACATTCTACATAATGTCTTTTAAAAAAAAAAAAAATTAATTCGATAACGAGCAAAACAATGTAACAAACAGTGGCACTATACACTACCGTATTCCTTTCGATATATCCGTTGATGCCCAAACCATAACCTCACTTCTCTTCTTCCCACTCTGCCTGTACACGTAATACGTGGGCGAGCCTCGAGCACATCTGCATAATCGTACGTAAATTGCACGAGACATCGCGCACGGTAATATATTGCGGGGGCCACGTTCATATGCAGGATATGCACGGATCCACGCTCGCACTCGAATCAGCTAACTTGCACGCGCGCATGCGCGCACGCGAGTTACATATACACAAGTCGCAATGGTTAATTTAGTTAGTATATATGAAAGGTTACGCGAGGAAGAGCTCAATTTTACACTTCTCTCTAACGTGTTTATATTTATACAAGGAGCTATTATACAGAGAACTATTATATAGAGCTTAAAGAAGAGAAGATGAGGAAGAATCTATCTCATAATTGATTGGAAAACACTATATGTCTTTTACAGCTTTTTTAAGTGAACTATTTAAAGGAATAACTATTAGTATTGTGATACAATATTATTTTAATACTAAAGATATGTTCTAAATTTGATTGAGTAGGATTTATTTATATTTGATTTGTTTGATTAAAGTAGATAATTTAGATTATTTTTAAATTGTAGAATAGTTTTTTTTTTCTTTTGTACAATTGAAATTTAAATTTGTATATTAATTCATTTCATGAATATATAAATATTTTTTGTAGCTATGTGTAATTATAAAAATAAAATATAACTATTTTGAATATAATAAAAATAAAAAGAAAATATGTAAAGAAGCAAGAGACAGTATCTTATTAAGATAAAGAATGAGAACTATAAAATCTGAATGGAATAAAGATAAGTAACTAGTCTCAAGAGTGTCAGACAGGTTTATACAGCTATAATAAAGATATAAATGAAGATGACATTGCATCTACCATCAAGATAAACATATTTGTTTTTGTTTGAGATAAAAAGAAAGTTATTTCTAAGAGAATCAATAAATAAAAATAAGAATTACTAGAAAGTTTTAGCGAATTAAAATATATTGCAATTTAATAATAAATAAATAATTATACAAGCAACTTTCTTAGATTTCTTCTTTCTATCTCTGTATAGTAAATTAATAATTGTTACTCTTGAAATTTAACTTACCACCACTGTTTCAAAAATTTTGCCTCATCTATAAGATTATAAGGATGATCTCAAATTACTTACCTAGAACAAAGAAAAATATATGATAAAGATTAATTAAAACAATATTAACATATATGAAATAATTATATTGAAAGCATTTTATTCTAACTAGATTATATATTATATTTTATATTGATCAGTCTTAACATATGAATAAAAATTTATTTTTCAATATTTAATTTTGATAAATGCTTAATTGTAATAATAATATTTAAAAATATCATAAATAAAACATAAATATAATTGTTTTAATGTTAAAATTAATAAAATTTCAAATTGCTTTTCTAAACAAAGAATAGAGGGTGAGTTTCATTGTACATTGATAATTTCAAACCCCTTCCATCATTTCTGTTCCTTTAATATCAGTACCATACGCATTGTTGCAATAGAACAATGCAATAACAGCGCATATACGATAACATTACCTCCCCCCTCCCCAACAGATACTCATCATTTCAGTTACAGCTAATTGAAAATACATATGTAACAAGGGAAGAGAGATAGTTTCAACAATTTACTAATTACCGAATATTAATGCAAATTATTAATGTTTTTAATGAATAATCTAATATAAATGCAAATAATAAAAAGATAATAAAAAATTTAGTTATTAAATTGAGTTTTTATAAAATAAATGTTTGATTTTATTGTAATTCAATTTAATAAGTAGAAGATAAACGAATAAAAAATAGGACAAAACTATATATATAATAAAAAAGTATTATTCTATCTATTATTAATTACGAATTCTGATAGAAATTTTTTAATTGTAAAAATATGTATAGTGTGATAGAATTTTATATCTTTACAATTTTTTCAGGAATTCAATTTTGTATAACAAACCGCCCTACTTCATTCAATTGAATCATCAAAAATCTAAATGAAAAAAAAAAAAAAAAATTAATCATAAAATCAATTTTTATATATTTTTTCTATTATTTCATTTTTATATGATCCTATTTATTGATTTGATATTATCATTATCTATCTATAATGCACATAATATAATTCATCATTTCATTATAGATACATATCAATTTTCAATATCAAATATCAATTTTAAAAAGCATATAGGATGTTTCATAATATACTATTGATGAACAAATATTCATCAATTAATTTTCGAATTAATATATAGAATTGTAAATTATACATTTTTTTTACAATTTTATATTAAATAAGATAATGATTTCCAATTAATAAAATTTATAAAATTTCATTTATTTTATAGACAACACAATAGTTATAAATTCTTAAAAGATCACTAATAATGTATAATGAAACACTCTGTACACTACAAAGCCAGTATTCAAATATGGTATAATATTCCATACATCGACAACGTAATATTTTCCTTAATTTTTGATACTTCCTAATAAACAGGCGCGATCATAAAGGATGGTTAATAGGGCGGTGGCTCGTCGCGACTTCAATTATCGCGGCCTTTACGCCCTTTTAGCTGGGCAACGACAAGAGCCTCTCTCCGTGGCGCAGCGTAAATGAATTTCGCAATAAAGTTGCAACGGGCAAAGGGTGACCGTAAAATGAAATAAAGCGTCGCCGTGGCTCGTCTTTATGCTCGGTTCGCGCACCGCCGCGTCTCGCGCATAATAAATCACCGGAGTCCGCGTCGACATGCGCCTAGAAATCACTGGACGGCCGCTACTTTGCGTGAAAAATGCTCAGAGAAACGTACGATAAAGGACGCTCGAACAAAGAACCTTCGGAATAGACGAGCCACTCATGCGAACGAGTCGTGGATCATTTTATATTCACGAACTGCTTTCGATTGTTCCCCCTTTGAATTCCTTTTTTCCTCTCGTTTTTTTTTTATTTTATGAGTTTAACGATCATTTTTCTTGGGATCGCAGATCGTATCGTCTGTTAGTGATCAAGGATTCTAGCGAGAACTTTGAAATTTTTCACGTAGTTAATGTACACTATATACTATATAATACAGTTAACCTTTTTACTATGATATGAAACGTATATTATATATTAATAAAGATTTTGAGAATAATATTCGTAACGTGATATTATATATTGCGTATATATTATAAATTGCGTATATGACGCGACGAGAACGTTTGGTGATTAACCTCTACGGAGAAATTAATAGCATTTTATAAATACCTCATATTTCACGTTATTGCTTCCCAATAACCATCTGTCCGGATATAGTAATAAAAGAATCATTAAATAGTAACAACACTTCACAAAACTTTTTGAGAAAACACCAAAAATTGTGCACCAAGCCACGAAAAAATTCGATCGCGTATTCTCACTACGTATCACCGCCATCTTTGATCCCGCCAAATCATTGAATTGAAGTTAGATGCGATTAGACGAGCATTAGTGCTGCTACGAAACAATTTTTACGCGGGATTTTATTCAAATATATATTTCGACCATTTTTACTTTCCATTAAAATTTATTATAAAATTTTATAAAATTTTATATATTTTAATATTATAGTTATTTAATATCGAATCGACATTATTTCTATTTGCATACGATATAATAAATGTAATATAAATAAATATATTAACAATAAATTAATAATTCTATACCAAATTTAACTTAATTATCGATCTGAACTTATACATTTCTTTAAAGAAATCTACATATTATATAATGTAAGAATGGTATTCGTATAAACGAACCTCAATGCTTTCGAATTTGTGAATTTCAATCGTTCTTGGTCTTGAAAATTCTTCTGAAATCGAGCAACAGTTTTCTTAGAATGAATGTACGAGATGATCTGCAACAAAAGCAGTTCAAGAATTTTAAGGCATAAAAATATGAAAATAGTGCTCGTGTGAATGAATCGTGTAGTATTTTCGATTCGATATATAAATTGTTTGAATATTTTTGAAAAAAATTATGCAATCTTTTCTATAATTCTAAAAAATTTTTAAAACCTAAAAAACTTATATTTTAAAATTTATTTAAAAAATTTTAATATCATTATAAAAAATAAGAATATCTTAATAATATAAATTTTCAAAATTAACAAAAAATGTTATTTAACGCTCGTTTAACAACAATCAATTACGTATCATTTATAATCCCTATTAAAATATATTTCGAAAACAATTTCTGTAAAAATTTTAATATTACCATATCATTAAAAAATCATTACATTAAAATTTCTGAAACGGAATAAATCGCTTACAAATAAATTTGGAATAATAAAACAATCCAAAGAATTGGTTTAAGGATTAAAATAAAAAAGAAAGATCTTTTGGAAAACCTACCTCGGAGAAAAATCGATATTTCTGAGAAATATATACAATTTCTGATCCGTCCGTTTGGATCACCCTATACAATCCCACATGTTTTCCCGAGCGTTCGATACGTTAGCGCATTTTCGCGTGCGTTTATCCAATTATGAGAAGCGGGAGACGTGCACAATCAAAAAATGAGTTGTCGGGGAGGGGGGAGCCGGCCGAATGAAAACGCGTGTTCCAGATAAGCAAACGAGGTGTGTGTCACACACGAGTGTTGTTATAACCGTCAGAGAACTTTTCACGCAGACACTCGAGCGGGGCAATAACGAGGCACGTTCCACTCGTTATCGGTGGTTAGCAGATAAAGTAATATACCTGTTTAAATAATGCCCGCCGCATTCCACTATGACATTTATCGGTTCATATATTTTGTCGCAAAAAATTATCGAACGCTGTTTCATTATAATTTTCAGTTCGCGTTTTATCCGTGAAATAATTCCCGCGCCTCGGTTCAAGAGTTTACGTGAAACGAAATTGCATTTTCGGAATTTTCCCTATAAGCGGATTAACCGGTGTATCTGTACAAATATGCGATAATTTTAAGTGGATGATTCTTTTTTTTCAATTTGGTCAAATTATCTTTGTTAAAAAATTTTACACGTATAAATAAATAAACATATAACTTATCTTAATTTTCACTTATCTAAAGTTTAAATAATTCTGAAGGACGCATAAATATTTATAATATTTCTATTTAAATGATAAAATTCTCATTATCCGTGATAAAATTAATCCTTTTCTTTTGTAATACGAATCAAAATTCAAACAAAATGAGTAGTCTTTTGATGCAATTAAAGTAATTAAGATTGATAATTCATAAAAAAAAAAAAAAAGAAAAGATCAAGAGATTAAATTATTCTTTTTCGTTTACATTTTCTACAAATAATACATATAATACATATATCGTATATTTATTTTTTATATTATACAAGATTCTGAAATCCGAGCACGAATCGAGAGCAACGTCGTCTAAATTGTCCTGGTGCGCCAATGCACTCGCGTTACTCATAGTTCGCATGGTGCAGCGTACACGCGTCACGTCGTGCATAAGTGCGTGTGCGCAAACGCGTGTAAATAGCGGCGTGGTGCGCACGCGGACCGTTTGAATAATGCGACGCGCAATTACGCGGGATGACGTGATTCGTTTTTCGCTCGTGAATCTTCTCTCTCGCTACGGAGAGACCAACCACCCGGTAATGGACTTCAATGAAGTCAAAGTGAATGTATGTTAGTTGTGAAGCGAAACGTTTGATGTTATAGAAAATAAAGAAAAAAAAAGAACGAATAAACTGATTATTAAAAAATTACTTTAATAAAAAATTAGTAAAATTTATTTATTATCGTGAAAAATGTCTAATAAGAAATAATAAATAATAATAAGAAATAATAATTCGATGTTGAGTAAAATTTAATTAGAAACCAATATTTTTGTATCACCCTGTAAATTCAGTGAGCTTCGTTATCAGAGAATTGATTGGCGGAATACCTATTAATCTTTGGTAGCTAAAAACGCGAATGCACGTGAATTCCAACGCGTCACGATTTCTTTTATTCGAAAGCGATAATAAAACAATCCGTGTTGCAAATGCAAACATCATTGTCGGAACAACATTCAGCACGTATCAGTGATATTTACAATTTCGCGATAAAAACCATAAAGCGATGACAAAAAAAATGTTTAATTATAAAAAACTAAGAATTATTGCACTTCGATGAATTTATCTTTCAGAACAAATAGTGAAATTCTATTATATTCTCTCATTTAATACATTCTTTTTATAAAAAGAAATATATATTCGAATAAAATTCAATAAAAATTTTAGAATATCATAAAATCATAGAAATATTAAAGGTCTATATAAATACAAAATACTAAGTAAGTAGCTTCATTAGTATCCATTAAAATATCTTGCATTGAAAGAAATAAAAATATTGATGTATTCATGTCCTACATCAATACTTGTTGTATTGATGGAATTTTAATTGCTCAGTTAAGTTAATAAAAAAAAAAAAAATAAAGAAAAATAAAAAAAAACATTGAAAGAAATTTGAATGAATATTTCCATATGTCTTTCTCGCGATTGCCTCGAGGATCGACCAAATCCTCGATGAACACAAAGATCTCGCGGACAACGTCAAAGAAGCAGTCCGCGACGGGCTAACGGAAGCGGTAAATTAGTCAGGACAGAAATCTTCTATTAATATTCCAGCCCCCCTTTCTCGGCCTTTTCTTCCTCTCATCCTGTCGCTTTCTCTCACCTCATCGCGAGTGCCACGAGTGCCCATTAAAGACGCACTCTGAGCAATAGTGTTGCACTCTTCCTTTCGTATTTTCCACAAGAGAAAAAGGAAACTTTCAAACTGGCTAAGAAATCATCCACATAGTACGTAGAAGAAATTCTACGCAGAATTTCTCGAAATAAATCGAGATTTGATTCGATAATATCAATAAAAGAATTAAATGAATTAGATTAATAGCATAATATATGTTATCAATGAAAAGTTTTTATATATAAGTATTTTTATATATAAAGAATATATATATATTTTTATATATAGAGAAAAATCGATTTGGTTGATATTATAAAAGTAATGAGTTTGATAATTGAAGAAAAGAAAATATAAAAATAAAATAATTAATATAATAAATTTAATATATTGTTTGTAATAGTTTTATTATATCGAGCTATAAAAAAAAAAATTTCTTTATATATCAAATAAAGCAATGATGTCGGTGTCGAGACGAAAGGCAGACGAAGCGGAATGGATTCATTCGTCGCAGTCCATTTTAATCGAGCGACACTCTCGCTTGCAATTTGTACCCGCTAATTATAATTGCGCTAATTAATCTGGTTACGTAATTAAGTAAGAGCGCGAACCAGCCCGATTATTCTGTGATTGCTTATCTAGAATTGCTACAGTCGGATCCCGTTTCACGTTCGCGCGCGATCCGTTTCGAAAAATTTCACGCGCAACGCGGAAATCGTGAGACTCAACGTGTCTTGATACATTCCTCATACTTATTTATACCATCGTTATATTGTCAAACGTAATCGTTCACGGAAAAATGTCTCCCGAGATATCGAATTCATTTTTGACAAAAAAATTTACAAAAAAATAATTCGCATATATTTTTGAACGAGATATTACTCTTTTAATTAAATATCGATATTTTTTTTATAAATGAATTATTTTAAGAATTAAAAATTTAATAGTATATTGCATATTAATCACGAACATTTATCTTCTTAGAAAACATACACAAAGAGAATTTTTATAGAAATATTTTTTTTCTTTTAAAGAAATATTTTATTTTTAAATTAACTTTAATGAGACTAAAAATAGTTTTACTTTTAAACATCGAGCATGAAGTCAATTATGAAAAAAATTTGAATAATTTTAATGTATTTTAATATTATTTAAAAATACGTATGTAAGTATTTATATTGAACCATGATTTAATCTTTTGACCAGATTCCATCAAATGGCTTTACATGTAAGTTTATCTTATACATATTCACGTGTTCAATATTCACAAAACGATAGGTTCTCACCTTGGAGACATTATGGTAATTCAAAGGAGTCTTACGGGTTGCGCAACGCGAGATAATGTGGTTACGATTCATTAAACCGAGTTTACAGGTGGCGAAAGAAAGAGAGAAAGAGATAGAGAAAGGAACGGATGAAGAAAGAGAGCAAAAGAAGAGGGACATGGTACACGGAGCGAAATGACGAGCCTGCGGCGTCCTTCCGACAGGATAATTCGACCTTTTTCTTTTCCTATACGGCTCAACGTTCACTCCAGATTTCGAGTAGCCGGTCGCTTTCAGTCTGTCCGCTGCGAGGAAATGCAATTTGTAATTTACCGTGTGTTCGTAGAAACGTAATGATGATTCATACGCGGAAAGTGATTCGTCTCGGTCGAGCGCCGCTCGCGAAAAGCCAGGAATATCACTCTCTCGCCTAGCTAGGCTTGCGTAAATTCTATTGAAATCAGCGAGGTTAGTTCCTTATAACATTAGAATG